TGATGTTGTCGCTGTCATGGGACTTGGTTGGCAGCTCGGGGGGAGGTGGGGGCAGCGGCAGCTCGTCGTCGAGGCGGCCACGAGCGTGACGTCTGCCACGTTCTGGATGTTGAGTCGAGGGAGGAGAGTGGACGTCGGCCGGGGGAGTAGACGACTGCGAGTGGGACTGCGACTGGCTGGGGGTCTTGGCGGAAGTTGCGGTGGAGCCATTGCTCTTGACCAGGCGCAGCGGAGGCGGTCGCTTCCGTGGTTCCTGCGTCGAGTCCTTGTCGTCCTTTTCTGCTGGTGCTAGTACCTTCATGTTAATAATGCGCAGGCACATGTTCAGCTTGCACCCCAAGCGCTCGACGGTGCTGGCACTTGGCGTGGCGGACTGAGGTATAAGAGAGGGCATCTTCATTTGCATGACAGGTGGATGAGGTGAGAGATGGGGGCGAGGGAATATGTGGTGGTAATGTTGTGGCATGCCAGCCATCCAGCCAGCGTGCCGGGCGGCGGCGATCGCTCAGCAAGGGGAGAACTTGTTCAGATGAGAAGGGTACGTACCTCCAGCTGTGCCTCCCCTCGCTCTATCTCGCAGCTGCGTCAAAGACGGCACCGAAGGCAGTGGTTTGCTGGAGCGATCCAGCGGAGCGGGCGTCGGTGACGCTTGATAGTATGCAGCCAGCACATCGTCGTGGTCGTCGCCATATTGATCTCGCTCGTCTCCGTAGTGGCTCAGGATGGCGCTGATGATGTCCCTGCGCGCGGTGGGTTTTGCGTCGAGGGCGAGCAACTGGGCCATGACAGACGGCAGGCTCGAGAACGCAACTCAGAGAGCAGCTCGAGCAGACAGCCGGCCTCATATTGGGTCGACTCCTAGGTTTAAGGCTGATGTAGTACAGGGATTGCGATGAAACCCTCCCATGCCGTGTTTTGTTTTTTTCGAATGAATGACCTGCATGCCGATGGAATACCTCCTCCAGTACGTACCTACCCGTCTGCCTCTCTCCCCCAAGACCACCCGCCCCGCAACCGTCACGCTCCTCTGTTCCCAGCTTCAAACTCTTTTTTTCTCTTTCTCTTCGTTCAAGGTGGCCCGTTGCCAAGCCACTGCCGGCCGATCAAACGGGTGCACCCACACCCACTCCCACGCTAGAGTAGGCCGACGGGCGGGGGCTCCCCAGCTGTGCCTTGACGGTGCCTGACATCGTCACCTCTCCTCCACCATCACTCCTCTCGCGCCCAAAGCCACTGACACCTTGGCTACGTCATGCACCACCACTTCAGGTTGCTTCATCAACCAACTTCTATTTGCCTTGGTTATTCAACTTCACAAAACACGACGCCCGTCCTGCTCTTGTCATGCACCTCGGGCCCGCTTCCCCCTTCGCCGCCGCGGCTCGTCGCATTTGCCCCATTCGTCTGCAACCAAATTAACCTGCAGCCCAAACACCAGACCAATCAGAAAATTTTGTTGGCCTTTCCTCTCTACCCACCGAGAGAAACACGATCCAAACAAGTTAAACATCTTGATACCGACTGGAAACGCCCCTCTGACGCTAAGCGGGGTATGACCAAAAAAACCAAATCCTGATCCAAAAACGCCGACAGGTGACACCCAAAGGAAAATTCCTATTCAATGATTGTCGTCCGGCTTTGCAGGTTGAGAGCTGTCTGTACGAGTGCGTACGAAGTGTTGAAATGAACAATAAAGAAGTCGCATGCGTTCGGACGGCAGCCGGAGGGCCAAGGCACCAAGGCGGGAACAATGTCGCCGGATATTGTCGAGAGAGGGCCATCCCAGACCCGTTCCCCTCAACACCCTGCTCGGCCCGTGTCTTCCGCCGGCCAACCGTGGGTGGCGCTGCTGCGTAGCAAAAGTGTTTACAAAAATATGGTTAGAAGACTGACGACCAACACCACCAACGATAGTGCTCTTGACGTGGCCGGCGTTGCTGGCATCGCCAAGCTCGACGTCGACACCGACTCGTTGACAAAGTGTGGCCCACACTGGATGTTGACCTGGCTGGCAGCCGCCGCGTACGTGTTGCTGATTGGCTGCGTCTTGTTGCCCGTGTACGTCCAAAAGGTATGGATGGTGTCTCGGAGACACGAGCTGCACGTGAGCCGCGATCCGCCCGGCATGGTGATGCCAATGGGCAAGTAGTAAGGGTACGAATCAGTCGGGTTGGACGAGTTGGTGATGGCATTGGCGAAACCTAGTTTCAGATAGGTTAGGACACGGGACTGTTCCGTCTGCTTAAACCGGGTCGACGTACAGTAGCTACCCTCCGAATCCTTTAAACATCCGGCCTGGTAGAGCGGCGCGTATGCCACAAGGCCATTGTACGCCTGCCGCACCGTGGGGTTTTCGGCCTTGTAATCAGCCCCGCAATTCGAATCTTTGGTAAGTTCCGTGGCAAAGTAATTCATCAGCGAGCTGCACTGCTGAAAGTCGACATTGCAGGACACGTCCAGCACCTGGGTCGTCCTGACGAGGGAACGAGTGTCGTCAAAGAAAGAGCTAGAGGTCTGCAAGACGGATTAGCCCGGGGCGCGAGAATGGTTCCAGCAAACCCAAACATGCCTGGAGGAGGAGCGACAACGGCACGCAGTTGTCAAAGGTCGAGTTTGCTAGAAAGGAATTGAAAAAGGCCGGGCACGAGCTTGCGGTAAAGTTGGAGCCGATGCTCGTGTCAAAGGGCTCGGGTAGCGTGGTAGCGGTTGGCGTCGACACTGCTGCCGTGTATGTGGCCGACGACGCAAGGAAGGTCGAGGGCGGCGTGGTGGTTGCCGACGCAGCGGCGGCGGCCGAGTCGTCGCCATCCACAGCGTCCCTAGGATGCAACAGTGGCATCCGCTTTTCCAGCGGTGGATGGTTGCGATCGTAGACGATTTCTCCTCTTCCTCTTCGGACCAACGAGAGCAGGCGAGGTCGGTCATGCGACGCAGCAGCGGCGGCGCATTCGGACAGAAACAGCAGCAGAGCAAAAATGGCCAGCGACAGGAACCTCGGGGCCTTGGATGACGAGGGCGCGGCCAGGCGGGATATAATTTGGATTCGAGGTCGCGGCGGCGAGTGAGGATGTCTCAGGCGGCGTCTTGAATGGTGCGACATGTCCGTCTCCACGGCGCATCCGCGTGTCTGGACCGGTGCACATGGGCTGCAAGACGAGAACAGGCCTGCACTCTTCATGGTGATTTACAAAGGTGGTGGTGTTGGTGCCCCGTGCTGGGCGCGCGCAGCATGCTTAACCTCGTCTGCGGTAAGTACAGATTGGAGGAAGCCGGGGGAGGAGGGAGGAGGGAAATGAAATTGCAGTAAAGGTAGGCGGCAAAAAGAGAAGGACGAAAGTTGGACATGGAAAGCTTCGAGATTTGCGGTGTCATGTCTAAGGGGACGTCGTCAGCGCAATTGGCAATTGGCTCGAGTGGGAACTTGGGGCGGCGTCGATAGTAGAATCAGGGCAAGCCACGGCTCAGGCCAGACATGGACGCCCGTTTGGGACGAGAGAGAAGAGAGAGAGGTCCAGAAGCCACGGCGACTGGCAGAGCTAAGAGAAGCTTGCTTGTGCCTCGCCAGATATTTTTGGCCCACCACTGAAAATCCCTCCTTCCGCTACGCTGTAGTTGAAAAGAGCGCTGTCGCCGACGATGTTCTTCAAAGAGGGCCAAGCCAATATCTGCCTGCCTGGGATGCCAACGACCTTCCTTTTTTCCGCCATGACCATTTCCTTTCTGCAGCGATGCTGACCGCGATGGTCTCGACCGCCCGGCCTCTTGTCCACTCAGGTAGAACAACCAGACAGCTCATCCCCGCCGTACCCGCTCCACGGTTCCCACCCCCCGATGCTTTCGCCAACTGACTTTTTGTCCAAAATTAATGTATGGAGGTAGGTTATGCTTCATGGCAACGGCGCTCCCTTTTCAGCCTCTTCCGCCGCCCGATAAGATTCTTCCACCGTCATCTTCTTCGACTTGTCTTCCTCAGGAACCCAGCCATGGCGCTAGCCGCGGCCGTCCCCACCAAACAAAAAGACCATGACCGCGGTCTCGACCTCGGGCTGCATCTACCCCCCTCTCAGCCCTGCACGCCGCAGGCACGCACCCAACGAGCACAAGCACGCAGTCGTCCTCTTTCATCCACCTCAAACACCAAGCTTGCCTCTCTCGGCCTGCCGACCCGCAAGCCCATATGTCGCCATGCGTGTGTGCAACCTCAACCACCGGCCTCTGGGCCTGTCCGACAACCACACGTCGTTGATCGCGTTGCACCGCCGCCTCGCTTGTTTGCATGTCTGTCGTGCAAGCCATGTGTTTCACCTCTTGTTCCTGGTCGAATCTCGCTCTGCACTTGCTTTCTCTCCAAGTGAGTGACGACTGATTTACGACTTCAGCCAACGGCGCTCCGGTGCAGTCAGTGGTGCTCGAATCTTCCGTTGGTCCCTTCGTCGTCTGTCTTATCGCACATGCTCAGTCACTCCACCTCCTCACTTTTCTTTTCGAACATCTCGTCTCTTTTGATTGTGTCGATATTGGCCACGTCGAAACGACGATAACCCTCTTCCTTCTCACCGGTGGTGCCATCTGTCAGACAACAGATCAGACCGATGGAGGAAGCCGTCGGTTCCTGCATCCATCTTCCCACATCTGCGGCCATCGTCCGGCTACCACTGCTGTCAGCTGCTCGCTCCCCTTCATCTCCTCTGCGCATCTATCCTCAAGCAAGTATCCATGACGACGAAAAAGAACAGCATCAATCCAATCATCAATCCCCGCTCATTATCCCACCTCTCCCTCCCCCAAGCACCCAAGCACATGCAAACGGCACCACCTCGGCCAGCCCGCCGCGCCCCACCGCATAAACCCCTCCACTCCCGTGAGTCCACTCCAGCCACTGGGCCGAGCCAGGGGGCTGCCCGTGCCCCCCTCCTGCAACCCCTTCGCAAAAGAAAAAAAGTTTGTAAAAACCGCAAAAGAAATGCTCCCTTGAATGAGGGCCATTATAGCATTCGAGATGCCTCCAGTCGGAGTCGAACCGACGGCCTCGACATTGCCCAGTCTACGTACAGCCGGTTGTCCTTTCCTCGAAAGGAGAGAGTTCGGACTGTTGTATACTAGTGTCGCGCTCTACCACTGAGCTATAGAGGCTGCTTGCTGCTGCTTCGTTGTTGTTAGGGGCAGGACTGGGGGTTGCGGTTTATGTATTGGTGAGCGATGGACAGGGGGCAGGGCAAGGGGTTGGGTTCTTCTTCTGTTCTTCTCCCTTCTTCTTCTTTGGAGGGATATTGGGGGTTTTGAGTGAGAGGGCAGGGGAAGGGTTTGTGGTGATGGAGAATCCATGTGCTGCGGTGGGTGAAGCGGCAGCATCACTTCACCCAATCTCCATCACCATCTTGCAAATGTGCACGTGGCGCCATGATGACCGTTCTCTTGCGCTAACCCCATTGGAAGCTCCGATCCATTGATTATTCAACTATCGAGGCCAGTCGCTGACAAAGAGCTGTGCCGGTGTAGAGGTGTAGAGAGTAATGTCGAGGAGGTCGGGGGGACAGGGGCAGGGGGGGGGGGGGGGCAATCAAATCCTCGTGGTCCATCCATCGGCAACAGCAACACGCGAACAAGACACCAGCAACCGCATAGAACACGAAGACAGAGTAGTAGTCCCAGACAGCAAACAGCAACAGCAGCAAACAGCTTTGTTTTGAACATTTTTCAAATACCTCGTCCGCTCAAGCCCGAACCCAAAAAACAAAAACAAAAACACCCCACCCAAAGCATGTGCGCCAGAGCGGCCGCCCTGCCCACCCCATCTCTTACCATTTTTTACGCCGTCCCTCAGTCCGTGTCCGCTGTTGCCCCCGTCGAAATGCGCAAAACGTGTGGTAAAAAGGTATCTTACATGCACATGTCGATAACGCCTTCGCCGCCCAATGTAAACGCCGGAGCCCCCCATGAACTCGCCAAAGCAAAAACCAATATCGCGCCGGACGACTTCTTTTCGTTCCATGCTCTTCTTGTTCTTCTCTTTCTCCTTGTCAGTGTTTCGTCTCTATACAGGAAGCACCTCGGCAACGACCCGGACCGCGCCCTCCATCCACGCCGCCGTCGCCACTTCGGCCAAGATGCCCTGCCAGTCGCGCTCCGTCTCGACGAGCAGCAGCCCGCGACCAGTCAGGGCACGGAGTTCGTAGCGCGGAGGGAGGAGGACAGGCGGCGGGGCTTTGTGAGGGGAGGAGGCGGAGGGAGGTTCTGCTGTCGAGGTATCGGGGTTGCTGTCATGCTCCTGCGGCGTGGTGGTGTTGTTGTTGCCATGGCCGTCGGCATTCTCCTCGCGGTTGTGATCGCCGGCCCCGGTCCCAGATCCAGCCCTTGCTCTCGCTGATTCTTCTGCCGTCTCCGCGTCCGTCTTGGCCCCTGTCGATCCACCGTCGCCGGCTTCGTGCTCCAATCCCAGCACCACGCCGCTGCGGACCAGAGCCCTGACCTCTTCACCTACTATACCGCGGAGCTGTGATAGAGGCATCGTGTGGTGCGGTGTGCTGGGGAAGCTGGGCAGGTCGATGCGCGGTGCGAGCTTCGTGTTGTTCCTGGTTATGAGGATCTGGATGACATTCTCGGAAGGGCGAGGCGGTGGGTATGTTGTCGTTGTCGTTGTAGGTAGTGAGATGGGTGCTGCCTGGGAGCTTGAGGGAATAGCGGACGCAGGCGTGGTCGGCCCGTGTTGTTGTTGTTGTTGGTTTGGTGTGCTGCTGGCCAAGTGTGGGGATGATTGAGGAGAGGAACGGCCTCGAGGTGAAAGGGGCTGGCGGGCCACGCTGGGAGTCCTTTGCCTGGCAGATGAAGCCTCGTACATGGTCGGTTGGATAAATGCACTATGCGGCGCCTGGGACTGTGCATGTTGTGCTTGAACAAATTGCGGATAGTTCTCCTGAGGTAGCGACTGCTGGTCCTGCTTCTGTGGCGATAGAAGCGACCGGTAGGGCGAAGAGTGCGCGAGAGGGCTCCTTTGGTGGTGATAGAGAGAGTGGTCAAGCAACGGTTGTGATTGCACTCTTTGTTCTGCCGTCTCCGTCGCTACTCTCTCAGATGAAGCCTCTTGCGAGCCGTCGCGCGGCGCCATGTCCTGCTTCTTGCCGCCGCCCTTTCTCGTCTCTTGCGCGTACTGTCTTTGCCTCTCATTTGTAACCATGCGCCGCAGCAACGGCGTCACCAGACTGACAATCTTGTTTGCGTCCCGCGGCCAAATCCATTTCCTGTCTGGTGCCACCGGCTTCCCGTCGATGGTGTCGTACTCTGTCGGCGTAGGAACATAAGGGCCAAAGAAGCGCTCTCCAACGCCTCCATTCAAAAAGTCGCGAGCACAGTTGAAGAGTCGCAGCTTGACCATGTCTGCATCGCCTTTGCCGCGGTTGCCCACGCACTCCTGGCGCTCTGGGTGGCCATCGTCCAGCATGTAGCTCTTTGCGCAAGCCTGCAGCCGCACAAAATTTTCGGGCGTGAGCTGGAGATCCGAAAACAGCTTGTGCATGGGTGGTCGTGTGTACTTCTTCCTCGAGTCTGTTGGGGTCTGGCGAAACAGCGCGGCGGCTGAATGGACGCCGACTGCGGCGCGTACATCCGTCATCCCAAGGCTTTGTGTCGGTGTAGCGACGCTATGCTGAGGAGAAGGCGTATCAATGCTCATCGAGGACTGAGCTGCCGGGGTGTTGGCGTGCATCTGGCCTTCTGCAAAGGGCGCAACCTTGGTGCGCTTGCTCGGAGAGGGAGCTCCAGTGCTGTAGTCGTCGCTGCCCATTTCTTCTTGCTCATCTGTCGCCCCGTCTGGCGTGCGCTTGCGCTTGAGCCCAGCGCCATTGTGGCCGTCTTCTTCCATGGCCGAACCCCTCAGATTCTGGTGTCCTGCGACCTTGCGCAAACCGTGGCCTGTCGCATTGCTCCAGCGCTGCGACTCGGACGTGGCCCTGGAGGTGGCCTTGGCCGCGGCCTCGAGCAATTCGGCCATGTTTCCTTGATCTGACTGCGCCGACGCAGATGGAGGCACGCCGTTCTTAAAGGCGTCCATGACGGCCGGGGTAGAGGTGTTGGCCATGGCATGAGCGGTGGCTTCTTGTGCGACGTCCCTCATCCTCTCCTCCAGCAGCCTGGAATACGTGTCGGAAGTGTCCCCATCGGTCAGGCTGTCGGGGGCGCTGGCCGCGGCAGTGGAGGGGTTGTTGGTGGTGAGCGGGGCGGAAGTCATGTAGGCCAGCTGAGGATGCGCGCTGGGATTTTGGCCAGGTGTTGAGCGCGTCAGGGTGGACGAAAAGGCAAGAGGGAGAGCTGCGACAAGACTGAGGGAGGCATTAGCAGCAAAGCGGAGCAAGGACGTAGTCGAAATGGCATTACAGCGCGCGCTACATGGAGAGCTGCTTGCTACGTTGTGTGCTGTGCATGCGCAAGCCGCCGCGTACTGTATGGCAAAGGTATTTGTTGCGCGTGTTTGTATATTTTGCACCCAATGCTCTCGGCAAGCGCCGAGCCCCATCCCTGGCATGCTTTGGCTTCATCCCCGCTGCCGAACCTGGCCAACCACGCTCAAAATATGCAGCCATGCCAATCAATAGGCTTGCTGATTTTCTTCCAGAAATGTGCCATGGTTTGTTCAAGGTTCCGCCGGATCCCTATACAGTACCTCCAAATTCTGCCTGCACAACGCCTGGCAGAGAGCCAACCAAGTATCCCCCGTCTATATGTGATTATAAAAGCGCCGAATCAAGTATCCTTCCCGCAAAAACACACGCATTCCTCCGTAAACGCCATGCCGTGATTCGTGCAATTCAAAACCAGTCTCCCTCATGCCACTCTCTGCCCGCGATTTCTGCTCGAAACCTAGGGTCATTTCCCCTCTCAATCGCTTCGTCTCGCCGTTTTGCCAGGTCGAGCTTGAGTCTGTAAATCGTCTGCTCCAACCACTTGTCTCGTCCGGGCTCCGGCAAATCTTCTTCGGCCAGCGTCTCATACTCTCCATTCACCATGGCCTTGTGGACGAGCTCCTCCTTGTCGTGCCAGTCCCACAGCTCGTATTCCCAGCCCCGCATGTTGAACTTGTCCTCCTTCCACTTGCTGAAGTGATCATGCGTCTCAAAGCAAACGCCATAGCCATCGCAGTAGCAGACGTGCTCGTTGGGGCAAATCACGTTTTCGCCCGTAAACACGTACTGCCAAATGTACTCCCAGATGCGGCCGGATAAAGAGTCGGGGAGGGGTGTTCGCAGGAGCCAATCGCGATACGATACGAAGCGTTGGAGCGGAATGGCGCGGATCCGCTCGCTACTCACGGCGAACTGCGAGCAACACGGCTGGGCGAGAACGTTTGGGATCGGGTCCATCGGGAAGAGCTCGCTCCACGCTTTGGCAAGCAGCTTTTGTTCGTGCTTTGCCTTGTCGTCCTCCATCTCCCCTGGGTGCATCCAATCAGGGCATCCCGGGTCCCAGTGACAGCGCAGATTCACATAACCCTCCCGCATGACCCTGTTGGGATTAAGGCGCTTGACAATCTCGACAGCGTCCAAGTCGAGGAGCTCGTTGTTGTGCCACGTCCAGCGATGCGCGTGCATAAACATGGCGACGTCGGGGAGTTTTTCGTAGTTGTCAATGATCCAGCTGAGGTAGACCATGACTTCGTGGCCCTTGTTCTTGGGTGGATGCAACGGTGCGCGTGAGTTGTCGACGACATAAACTGCGGTTTGGTACTCGGGCAAAAAGTCGTGGATCCAATCCACCTCCTCATCGGACTTGCGCGGTATCACCAAGACCTTTGTGAAATTGAAATCAATTGGCTTCCCTATGCCGTGCTCGAAATGCGGAATTGATTTCCACTTGGTGGGTGTTGGATTTGCAGCGGTTGCTGCGCCTGTTGGTGATGCTTCGGGAGAGGCCTTGGCTTCATCTTTTATTGCATCTCCCATCCCAATGACTTGTGGCAGTCCTCGCCATGCTTGCTGAATGTTGGTACTGTAGTACAAGAAGCAAAAGAAGCCGGTCGCGGCGATGGCCAAAAGCGGTAGTAGTTGTCGCGGGTTCAGCATGGCCAGTAGGGGACCATGGGGGGGTTCGAAAGGAGCGACGCGATTAGATGTTGAGTGTCGAAGGCGGAGTAGGCATACAGT